AAGTGAAGCATTTGTTAAGTGCGTTTTGCCCCATTTTGCGACTTTCCTTGCCATAGTTGTTAAGTGAATCACTGTAGTTGTTAAGTTAGTAACACAGTTATTAAGTGAATCTGGTGTCATTATTGATTTTGCTTGTCAGACGGTTGCAAAAGGCAATCACAATCCCCCGGGACACTGTGACCATCATAACTATGAGCCAATTGCCAAGCATCCTAATTTTTATCACGTGACCACAGGATGCTACAACGGTCGTAAGCTTGAAAAATGGTCATAAGTCACTTTTTTCCATTCCACTAAATGAACTGTTATAAGTCGAGGACTACCTGTATAAGAATCCTTCCTGTGGGAAAGAGCTGTTTGAATTCTGAAGAAAAACATGATAGGATGGAACTTTAAGAATGTCTGCCCTCATAGATAGGCTGGGTGTAAATGAAAATTTTAGGTGCTGAAGTTTTCTACCTGCAGCGTATAAGGAATGGCTCAGCCATATGACTTGAGTCTAGGGCTTCCTTATTCCGTGCTTTGTCTTTCGATGCTCAGGATGCCTTAATTGAAGAGTAACTGTTAGAATTTCTGGTCCATTCTTCAAATAGCTCAGTGATCCATAGTTTCCTTTTGGTGCTTTTTGGCTGATGCTTCTGTGTGCTGCTATGGAGCCTTAATTCCTAACCAGGAGCAATATATTTCTTAGAAATGGCATTAAAGCTGTAGCGCTTGTTCTGCAGCATTTCCCGTCACCTTTTCCCTGACTTCAGATGGGTTGCAATATGAAATTCATAATTTTGTATTTTTCCCCCTACAGCTATTTTTCACCACAGCTGTGAGTCACATTTTTTAAAAAATTCACATTTAGATGCATATGCAGTTACCAGACTCTATAATTATTTTTAAGTAACCCGAAATGATGCCAGTGGTCTCTCAAGCATTGTAGTAATCCTGTCCATTTCTTGTGGAATGTATTCCTGCCTTAAACATAACCTGGCAAAATGCTGCATCTTGATTTAAGAAAGCTTTTATTATTGTTGTCCAGAGGAATGCTTTGGAATAATGAAAAATAAATGCCTATTATAAAGTACAGAACCTCTTGATTTTTTCTTGTGCTGGATTAGGACATTGACAAAGTTTTGTAGGGAGGGGTTGAAATGCCATAGCTTGAGGTGGCATCTGGGAACACGGACATCACTTTTCTGGAAAATCGGAGACCAGGACTTGAAAATGTGGTTCTGCCCCCAATTAAGATCATTTTTATTTTCATAATTGATTTTCTAGGTCTTTTGCACTGCTATTAACCCAGGGAGAAGGGGTTTTTTATTTAAGAGATTGGGCGAAGAAAGGATCAGAGCAGGTGGTCAGCTTGGGGGCTTTTTCCAGGATACCTTTAAATCCTGTTAGGCTATGCTCAGCAGGTGAGCACCTCAGGGATTTGTATTCCCAGGACAGTCTATTTTTCACAAAAGATGCTGTTTTGTTGTGTGAATCTTTGCATCAGAACGTTTCCTGTGGTAATTTATCAATTTACTGTTGGACTGGAGTTAGATGTGAAATTTTTAAAAGAAAACTGCAACGGCTTTCCATTTTGCTGATTTGCATATTGCATGGGACAGGACTTAGTGGATCTGATAAATGCCACTTTCTGAGGCGCCCTTGAAGCCTGTGGCTTGGCAAATAGAGGTCTCTGCTAGGAAACCTCATTCCTAGCATTAGGACTGCTATTTGGTAAGTGTTGACAGTATTTTTACCTGTGTGTGAGCAGCTTTGCAGGAAGGTGGGAAGAATATACTGGGTGGGAGGCACAGCACTCAACCAGTCAGAGCCTTCTATGGCCGAGGATGGTCTGAGTGGATCAAAGCCTTTTGAGTCTGCTTTGAGGGGAAGGAGCTTCTGTGTAGGTCTAAAAACCAGATTAAGACAGGCCGGTCCTGTCACCTGGGCCTCTCAGACAGGTAGCTCCTGGGTCTGTCGGCAGTATTTGCTCAGAACTGGGAAAGTTTGGTCTGTGGGTTTCTTGGTTGTGGCCGACTTTGCTTTTCCAGCAGTGGCTAAATGACAACACTGGGCAGAATCATTGCAAGCTTTTAAATTTTGTTACTGCTCCATTATTCCCAAGATTTAGCAGAGAGAGAATCTGTTCGTCTGATGAAGATCAGTGAGGCCAACCTGGTTTGCAGCCTCTGAGGCTTCTTTCGTCCAAGTGGGAACCAGGGGGCTGCAAAAAACTCCAGGTTTTCTTAAGTAGCATGTTGGCAACACAATCAGCACATGGTTAAGGCAGCAGCATTTCTCTGCCAGACTCAGGGAGACCCTGCAAGAGATTTAGTCAAGTAACGTTCAACGACTAAAACGGAATCACCGCCGTTTGGGGGAGAAGGAGGGCCCCAGTCCCTTTCAGAAGGGTAGCTTTCTCATATATATAGCCATTGAGATTGTAAATCGCGGCCTTTGTCGCTTCCATCTCCCTTTTGTCAGGTTCCTGCTCGGCCTTTATTCACTGCATTCATCCAGGTTTCAGGTGGGACAGCCGGAAGAGCTTCTGGTCCAGGATCATGCTGGGCGTTTGCATAGAGGGTGAGCTTAAACCTCAGTGGATCTCAGTGGCCTCTGGACTCACCGGCTGGTACCTTTTCAGATGAGAACGGCCTGATGATTTGGGCAAAAGCCCCTTTTTCTTTGAGAAAGCCCAAGACATCAGTAAGTTTTTGATGGATTGCCATGAAGCTTATAGGCCAAGAATTGGCAGGTTCAAGGGGAGTGGCTGCTATGCCTTGCAAGTTTCTTGATTTATCTTGACGAGAAACTTCTGTAAGGCAAACCTGTTCAATTGGGAGAACCTTTAAAATTATGAAAAAATAAAATCTTTGTAGGTTTTTACAACTTTCAGCCTTGGTTGCTCTGTAAAAGAGAAGTCTTCATAAAGGAATCAAAAGAAATCTCTAGAATTTTCTCTCCCCACCCCCACCCCCCGCTATGTGTATTTCTGTAAGATTTCAGAATTGTGCTGATGCACTGAATATGACCTACATAACTTTCAATTTAAAAATTTATGCCAGGTGGAAATTTATGAAATATTTTAGCATGAAAGAGAACCTTTTTCCCCTTAGGAAAATTAAACAATAAATCACCCAGCTTTCAATTTATCGCCCTAAGGCTGGTCATAGATAGCGTCCGTTCCCCTACATTGTTCTGGAAAAAAATATAATTGTATAAGACAGCTTAGCTTCTATCCTCCTACTCTCTAGAATTTTTAATTTCAGCTGTTTCTGCTTGGATTTATTTCCAATATTCCTGCTTGGCTTTTCAATTTCCTCAGTTATTAAATTTTAATTCAGTGCATTAGCATTTAAATTAAAAAGGGGGTTATTTTATCGAACTCCCTCTCCCTGCAACCTCTGAAATGGCCTGTTTCTGCCATAGATGCCCCCCCTTCGAAATGCAGCCAATCTCTTCTAATGCACATTTGTGCAAATTCATAGGGGGAGGGGTGGGGTCCAAGGTCTGAAATAATGCTGTTTTTAAGGAAAGCCTTTTTCAGATTTTTTTTTAAAATGGGTAATCTCATAATTTTTATTATTAAAAAGGCAGGAGGAAATTTAAATTGCAAGTATTTGGAACTGCAGTTTTATTAGGATGGATTTATGGAAGAGTTTGGACCTTTTGAATTCCAGGGAATGTTCCCAATTTGGCTGAGTGGGGGTGGGGAGAATCGATGATTCTACCTATTACGTTGATGCATTCACAGATTTCTGCCTTTAATGGGATGTGTGCTTCTCTATATAAATTATTCCACTCCAGAAACACTGAAATTTTTCTGCACAGAAACTTTCCTTGTGACATTTGTTTTCTTCTGTTTTCCATTTGGTCCGGATGCTTTTGTGGCGATGGGGGTGGGGTGAGGTGGTGCTCTGGAAGATTCCAGAGACTACAAGGGAAGTTGCGTGACTGTTCCTGTGAGGTCATTGGGGATCCTCTCCTTGGCCCCCTGCCTTCTTGGCCTGACCTGCCTGCACAAGGCAGGCTGTGGAGTCTTGGCCCCAGGGCCGCTGGGTACCAACTGGCTACGCTCATCTCTTGCGGTGGCTGCTGTGGGCAGGACGTTCCTGCACTTCCCTGGTCTCTTTGGGGGACCCTGGGGGGGGGGGGGGGAGAGTGAGCGTCTCCAAGCTTAAGCTCAGATGCGGGCGGGGTGGCAGTGGCTTAGCTCTGCAGCTTTTTTCTTGGCAGCAATGCAGAAGTGGTTATTTTTGAAATTTTCCCAAATTATTCTTCGTGTTCGCAGGTCTAGTGGTGACCCAGGTCTACCCTTGCCTACTGATCATAAAAGATAAAGGTTCCCCTTGCACGTATGCGCTAGTCGTTCCCGACTCTAGGGGGCGGTGCTCATCTCCCTTTCAAAGCCGAAGAGCCAGCGCTGTCCGAAGGTGTCTCCGTGGTCATGTGGCTGGCATGACTCAACGCCAAAGGTGCATGGAACACTGTTGCCTTCCCACCAAAGGTGGTCCCTGTTTTTCTACTTGCATTTTTTACATGCTTTCGAACTCCTAGGTTGGCAGAAGCTTGGACAAGGAAAGGGAGCTCACCCCGTTACGCGGCACTAGGGATTCGAACCGCCGAACTACTGACCTTTCGACTGACAAGCTCAGCATCTTGACCACTGAGCCACTGCATCCCTTATTATCATACTATATCATATTATTATTATTATTATCATATTATTATCATACTTGGTGGTATATATGCCTGAATGCAGAAATCACATCAAAACTAGACAAGGGGCAGTTTTTGCTCTTCGGAAGTCAGCCAGTGGAGCGTGTGTGTGTGTGTGTGTGTTGTGAGGTCCCTGTACGTTTTCTCTCTTTCCGCAAGTGACATTCTATCCCTGGAGCTTGCCTCCTCCCTTTTAGGCAGCCCCAATTGGATCACCTCCCTCTGTTGTCCTAGTCCTAGAAGGGAGCTGGCTGCTTCTCCAGAGCTCTGACCTTCCTCTCTGGCTGCTTCCGTTCTAGATTGAGGGCGGCAGCAACGGCAGCGGCGGCAGCAGCGTCAATGTTGGGACAAGAGCCTCTGTGGGCAGGTAGGTCCATCTTAAGAGCACCGGGCAACTTCAGTGCTCCGGCCCAGGCCTCAGCTGCCTCTGGAGAGGTTGGCATTGCCCTTCGCCATTTGCTGTGCTTTGATCTGGCTGGAGCTTGTGACCTGCACCAAGCCGGTTGGGAACTTGGGCACCTCCCTGTCTCTCCATGGGGTGGGAGTCCGCTCCAAATCATGTGACCTTCTCTTGTCCCAAACATGAAAAAATAGGGGTATCCTGTTCAGGAGAAAATGAACCTTAAAAGTTGATTGAAAGACTTAAAAGGTTGTTTCTGTCTCCCTGATGCTTCTCTCTGTCCCCCCCCCTCTTTTTTTTGCTACTTGTTCCCTACTTTACAGTATCTTTTGTCTCTCTCAGCATCTGAAGTGAAGGAGGATGGGTGGGAGGAGAGTTTGCCAATAGTTTGCTTTTAGAGATCCAAATAATATTTGTTGCTATTCTGTGCCCAGTTTGATGTTTTTCAAAATGTTTGGGAATTGGGTTATTAGGCATTCAACAATATTGTGAGCTGCTTAAGAGGAGATTAGCACATGTTGTTTAATTAATTAAACACTCCTTACACTTTGCAGAAGAGGTAGGCTTCCTTTTCTCTTGGCCCATGGCTGTGAATCATGGAAGATGTGGACGGTCCCAAGTGAGTCCATCTGAAGGACATTCAAAAATTTTTAGTTAACCAAATACAGTGACAAGCCATTTGTTTAGCCTACAAGACTGTTTTTTTTTTAAAAAAAGAAAACCCCCACATGCGTAGAAGTATTCCACTTATCCATAAATTCAGGGGCATGTAGAGTCACCCAGCCCTAAGCCCCAGACTGCCTGAATAGACGATGTTCTCTTGGGTGGCTTCGGTAGACTCTCTGAGGCTTAGAGTTCTGTTTTTCCCCTCACCCAAGAGAGCGCTTGAAGAGGACCCAGAAGATTATGAAAGCAGAAGGTTGCGATTCAGCCATGCCTCAAGCATCGCCTAGTGAGGATGCGGCAGCAATGACCGAGGTGAAGGTGAAGACGGAAGTCCCGGATGACTACATTCAGGAGGTGGTCTGGCAGGATGACCCAAAAGAGCCGAAGAAGAAAGGTGGCGGGGTAGCCGAGGTGCCTGCAGAAATTTGTGTGGTGATTGGTGGGGTCCGCAACCAGCAGACTCTCGGTAAGCTAGGTCGGTGGTCCATTGGCTTAACCTTTTCTTGCCAGGGACGGGCTGGGGTCCATGGAGGGCAGAGGGGGCTTTTGAGTGATTGAGGAGGCTCTTGGGTGAGTGTAATTCAGGCAATAAGCATATAGAGCATGGGTCAGCAACCTATGGCTCTGGAGCCGCATGTGGCTCTTTCATCCCTCTGCTGCGGCTCCCTGTTGCTGGTCAGCTCACAGTTGATAGAGCTTTCGGTTAGGAAAGGTAGAGGAAAAAGGATGCTGCGCTAGGAGGAGACTCTATCGTGGGGGAACGGTCTTCCGGTCAGCAGAGGAAAAAGGATGCCATGCTAGGAGGAGACTATGATGGGGGAGCTGGACATCTGGTCAGCTCCAGAATTGAACGGGGGCTTCCAGTTAGGACCTTTGTGGCTCTTTGAGTATTTAAGGTTGCTGACCCCTGATATAGAGAAAGAATAGGGCAGCCCCTGCATGCTGGATAATTGCTGTTTCCAGGTTGAGAAAAGAATCAGTCAGTTGAGATCTAATCTATTAATCAGTTAAATTGCATTGACTATGTTTGCCTTAGAATGGTAAGTGGTAAGGAGAAGAGTTTTTGGGAAACCAATATGTAATCCTTCAATCTGAGGCGATGGGAACATGTTAGAGGCACATAAAACCTTACATGATGCAGAAAATAAAGTTTTTTCTTTTTTACCACTTTAAGAATCAAGGTAATCTATTAAACAGAGGGCAGTTCAGGGGCAACAAAGGAGATGACTCTTGTCTAATGGGGAAACTCTAGAATGCATTGACACCAGCTATGTTGACTAGCAACTAATCTGGACACTTTTAAGAAGACATTAAATGAGCTGATAGCAGGCAGGGGGCCCTTGGTAGCGGCTGGTCTTAAGGGCCCTAGGCTACCTCATAGGAATGGATAGCTGGGAACAAGATTGGGCAGAGTTCTGGATTCCTACTGTGCTTCAGTTCGACCGTCCTCCAGCATGGAGCCTTGGGTGGACTTGGGGGTCTTTGTAGTTCCAAGCGTGGGTTTGTATGGACAATATAATGCTACAGTTGAGATGTGTCCAGGAGACAGACATGTCTTGGCATTTAAAATTAATAACTTTGGGGATTGGATAACTAGCCCAGAAGAGTTTCCTTCTCTGCTATTTTAGCTGATTCTGGGTGCATCTGATTTAAAGCTATAATGCCTAATTAAAAGATACATTCCTGTCTTTTATTTTTTTCTTGAAAGAAAAATAACGGAAGAAACAGTGGAATAAGATGGAACACAATATTCGGAGATTAGGGCAAACAGGCTGTTTAAAATTGAAGAATTTTCCAGGCAGTGATTTATTTTGGCTGTCACAACTTGAAGGGAGATTTTCTGTATCCTTTCTCCTGCACAAAAATTAGCATAATGAACTGTAGAGGTTTTTCCACCGGATTCTTTTGGTCGCCAAAAAGCCTGGGGTTTCCACTGGGAGAGGGAGAGGGGCAGATGGCAGGGGTCTGAGGTCCCCAGCTGAGCCTGGCTTTCCTTTAATTTATGCCATCCTAATCTGATCTGAGATGCTGCCTGGGACTTTCTCCCTTGGCATTTTCTGGGCGGGCTGGCTGGAGATGACGCCTTGCTTGGCAAACCCATCTCGCTTGGGCTGCATTGCTTTCAGCCCTGGTTGCCATCCTAGATTTCCCTTTTGGAGAGGAAGGAGCAGGTGTGTGTGTGTGTGTGTGTGTGTGTTGGTATGGAGGAAGAGTCTCTTCGCTGCTTACTTGAGCGCTGTGCATGAGCACCCCCTCCTGCCACAGTGATCAATCAATCAACACAGCTGGAATAGGTCTTCTAGTCCAACCTCCTGCTCAAGCAGAGACCCTAAATCATTTCAGACAGGTGGCTGTCCAGTATCTTCCTAAAAAAAAAAGGGGGGATGCTTCTCTTCTTGATTAGTTTCCATCCATTGTTTCTTGTCCTGCCTTCTGGTGCTTTGGAAAATATGTTGACCCCTTCTTCTGCTTATACCTGCCCTAATGTTTCACTGTGCTTTTTTTTCCTTTCAGGGTCATATGAGTGCGGAATATGCGGAAAGAAATATAAGTACTACAATTGTTTCCAGACCCATGTTCGAGCGCACAGAGGTATTGATCTCTTCTGCACTGCTGAGGAATTCTGGGAGTAGTTAAGAAATGAGAGTGGGAAGAATTGTTTCTGAGATACTATTTGCATTCACAAATTGGGTTTTTCAGGATTTTGTCCAGTCACATTTGTGCTCGAATGCCACAGCCAGTTTGATATCTTTAGACAAATCAGAGAAATATGCCCCATATTATTGAATTTGGTATCGGTTTAGAATATTGAACAAAATAACGGGGGGCGGGGGGGGGGGGGGGAGAGAAAATGCTGGCCATAGCAGAGAAGCCCCACCTAATTGATTGTGGGGCTGTCTTAAAATGGAATGCAGAAGACATGAGGCAGCTTTAATTAAATTAGCCATACATGGTATGTTCACGGAGAGGTTTGAATTGTACCGATTGCTGCAAAGAACAAGCTACCAGAATTGCTGTTGCTCCCCTTCCTCTGCCAGCATAAAGCCAGCAGTGGCTTAGATGAGCCTCCAGTCCTGAAGGAGATGCGTGTAACTCCTTTGATGGGTGAGGCCTTTACGCTTTAGGCCCTCTCATCTGCATGGCATCACTTCTCTTGGCTGTCTGCTTCACTGCAGAAGGTTAAATGCCACTGACGACAGAAAGACCCCCCACCCCAAATAGTACGTCCTAAAAGTTAAAATATTGCAACGAGACCCGAGGCGCTGCCACCTTCATGCGCCCAACCTCAAATCTATGACACAGATTTACCTGGCCTCTTTGGCATAATTCTACCTTTTCTTCTGGTTTTGCTTATCATGAAGGGAGGGGATTTGGATGGCAACCGGTACGCCCTCGGAACTGTATTGACAAGCGAGGGGCTCTGCCTGAGATGAAGATCTTCAGGCTATTTGGTCTCAAACAGACACGTTTCTTTGGCATCAGATCTGGGAAGGAGGCCTTTCGACCTCAAGCCTGTAAACAAAGACGAGGATGGGAGGGTGCTTATTCCTGGGAATGCATTCTCAATGCGGTTCTTCTCTTCGCTTAGACACAGAAGCGGCATCAGGCGAAGGAGCCTCCCCGGGGAGTAAGTATTGACACCCTTCTCAGATTGTGGAGTGATGCTTTGCGAGCAAAAGGTCCCCCCAGTTCCAGGTTCTGGGAGAGGAGAGGGAAGCCCCCTTTGTGCCCAAGACGCCAGAGAGCTGCTGCCAGTCAGGGTCCAGAGGGGGGCGAGAGGGACCCAAAGCTGGCCTGAAGCCAACGGGTCGGCTGTCACCATTCTGTTGTGAAGAAGCCAGGTGGGGCCAGTGGGGAAACCCCCCCTCGCTTTCAGTTGGCCAGTGTGAAATGCAGCTGCCGTGCTGTGGTACCATGTGCTGGTGAAGAAGAGGCTCCATCGTTTGGCGACTTTGTCTTGTTTTGCCCCTGTGCTGATCTTCCCTTCCACCGCTTGCTCTCTTTGCTTTGTATTTTTTGCTAAATTGTTTTCCGCGTTGGAAAAATACTCTAACAAAGGAAGGAAACAACCTCATTAATAATAGGGATATCATGAAGCCGGTGGTTTAGCTTTCCTTATTTTGGATCCTCTGAATACTCTTAGGGATGGGTATCACCCAAGGATTGGGGTGGGGGGTGTTTTGTCTCTACCACTGCGTTTCCCCCCCTCCCCAAAGCATCAAAACAGAACAGGAAAAATGCTGCTTTCCTTGATTTGGAAATTTCCAAAATTCCTTGGTGTCAAAAGATTTTGAGTCCCCGAGACGGTTCCATCCTTTGCTCAAGATTAGAGACTTCAGGGCCTTTGTTGGGGTTGAGGTGTGCTAAGACCAGGGAGCAGCCGGAGGCGAGAGTGGTGGTGGAAAGCCAGGTGCCGGTAGAGGGTCTGCGCATGGGGACTCCTCGGGGAAGCCCTGGGTTCTCCTTGGAGTTTCTCGAACGTTGTGCTCTTTCCTCCCCACAGATAACTTTAGGTACACGTGTGACATTTGTGGGAAGAAGTACAAATACTACAGTTGCTTCCAAGAGCACAGAGACCTGCATGCGGTGGATGGTGAGTGTCAAATGTCTGGATCGCTTGGCGAGAAGAGGAGGGTCCCTGTTCTCACAGAATGCTAAGTAGGAGCTCAGTCAGCCCTCATTCCCACCCTCCCAATGAAGCTGTAGGAGTTGGGAAATATTAATGGCTAAGCTCAAGCAGCAGCTTATCAGAACAAGCCAGGATTTCCATTTAACCCTTGTGTTTCCAGAAAATCTTGAATTTAAGCCAAACGTGGCTTGAATGTAAGAGTTGCTGAAAGAAAGGGATAGGCTAGATCAGTGATGGCTAAACTTTTTGCCGTCACGGGCCAAAAGCGGGGGGAGTGGGGAGGGGGTGTGCACGTGTGCCTTCATCCATAAATCAATGCGCCCCTCCCTCCCGCGCATGTGCATGCAACACCCCCCCCACACACACACACTCCCTCTTGCATTTGGCACATGTGGGCCCGGTAGGCCCATTTTTTGCCCTCCCCAGACTCCAGAGGCTTTCTTGGAGCCTGGGGAGGGCGAAAACAGCCTTCCCCACACATACCCCAGAGGCCCTCCGGAGGCCAGAAACGTCTTGTTTCCTGACTTCCGGTGGGACTGGAATCAGTTGGCCAGCATGTGCATGCACGCTGGAGTTGAGCTAGGGCAACACTCGCGTGCCCACCAATATGGCTCCGCATGCCACAGGTTCACCATCACGGGACTTGAGCTTCCCATCTCCTCCCAAGGCAAGGGAAAGGAGGCACAGGGCAGGCAAGCCTGCAGGCTCTGGCACCCGTTCTCAGGACCTTTAGTTATCGCTTAGAGCTCTTCGCAGGTAACCCAGGCCTGCATTTTATGGAAAGAAGCTGGGGAGGGGAGCTGTTGTGCAGGGCTGTTGACACCATTGGGTGATGCAAAAAATCAAAACCCAAGGGAAACCATTAGAATGTTGTTGTTGTTGTGTGTGTGTGCTTATCTACATATACCCAGCTACTTTAGAGACATAATACCATACAACTTTTGGCAATAAAGTTTCAGCCAATAGAAACTTCTGGCTAAATGATTCCAACACTTTAGGGAGTCTTCGACTGAGGAGCATTCGGGCGAATGCTCAATGGATGGAGAATGGAGCCGGAAGCTCTGCCGTGTTGCAGTTTGAAGCACCTGTGGGTGTGTGCAGAGATTAATCCACTCCGTTGGGAGAAAGAGTGCCTGTTTGGTGGATAGGAGAGTCTTGGGGCCTCTTGGTAGAGGTAGGCTGGTTGTGTTGCTTTTTGGAAGTAGTCTGACTCTTGTTAAGAATGACTGCAGTTTTTTGCAATCAAGTTGTCACACTTTAAAAAGAAATAATAAGTGCAAATTTTATATCCTGAATTGGAAACATGCATCTTATTATTAGTCACTTTAATAGGGAGATTATCAAGAAGAATATAATCAGTAAAAATACTATACATGTGTGAAATGTATGTTAGTCTATTTAAGACTAAGGATGAGAGCAGGGCCTGAGGGATAAAGCCAGGGAGGTGTTTCCACATGCCCCGATCAGCTCTCTCCTCCTTCTCTCCTCTTGCAGACCCCTACGATCAAGCAATGATTGCCAAGGAGGAGGTGAAAGAAGAGGAGCCCGAGCCCTTTCAGAAGATTGGTCCAAGTATGATTGATCGAGTTTGCAACTTAAGTAATTAACTAGCTTTCAGTGTTTCAGAGCTGAGGTTTCAGGCCCAAGCCAGGGATGGAGCGGTTCTTGCAAAGGCAGGAAGCTCTCACTAGTCCAACAGAAAGAGCACATTCTTTGCCTGTGCGGGATCCGGACTCCATTCCTCTTGGCACGGCTGGTGACAAGTCGGAAAATCTTCCTTGGATGTATCTTTCACTGGGGTTTGTTTAAGGAGCACCGATTGCAACTGCTAGGTTTTCCAAGATGTAGCAGGCAGAATAACTCCCAGGATGCCTGAAAGCTCCTTGATATCAGGTCTGCTCGTCGGTCCATCTGTCCCACGACTATCGGCACTGACCGGCTGCAGGGCTCTGAACATCCGTTCAAGCAGAGGGGTTTTTCCCAGCCCTTCCCTGGAAATGCAGGGGTGAACCTGGACCTTTTGCACGCAAAGCAACAGCTCGAACTCGGACTGTGGCCATCCGTCAGGAGACAAGCAACCTGCTTGCAAATAGCACTCCTAAGTAAACAAAAAAATTAATCTTCCACGTTTGACATAGAGAAGAAACAAACACGGTTGAGTTGGGGAATTGTAAAATTATTCTTGCTTAATGTTACATACTTTTATAAGCATCTGGTTAAAACAATACAATTTGGCCAAAGTATTTAGATGTAAATACTTTATTGCAAAGAGAAGGAATTAAGCGCATGTTATTTATTTTAATAATTATATTCAGACATAGGAAAAGCATTCCACTTGCATTTCTCATGACTTAATTTTAGAATTCACAAAGAGCTCTTCATTAAAGGGGAAGATATTGTCTAAGTATTGTCCTCTGGGATAAAAAAAAGTCAATTACAATTTTGCAGTGTTTTAATTTGATTGCTGCTGCATTCCTTGTTATGTTACCATGTTTTCTTCGGGAATAGGGTGAAATTGAGGGTGGGGAGCGATATTAAAACTAGAAATTGATCTTGATCTGAGATGATAACTACCTCTCGTAAGCGCTGATGAGAGAGCGACTTGGCCTTTGCTGTCTGCGATGGTTTATACGGCCCACTCCCAAATGCTACTTCTGCAAAAGGAAGTCTAGCCTCTGTAGCAGCCGTGTCTTTTCAGCCTCTCTCCAGGAAAGAGAGCTGGGGCAAAACAGAGGAAACGGTTACCACGAAGGTGGGCGCCCAGGGCCCCCTAGGTCAAGAAAACTTGGAACTCATCTCATGAGGCCATGTGGGAAATGTCTACCCTGCTATGCTCTGAATTGAGATCCATGTTTGGGTCAAGGGTTTTTGGGAAAACCTTTTCTCCTTCTGAAAATTGTTTTCTTACTTTGTAGAAACAGGCAACTATACCTGTGAATTCTGTGGCAAGCAGTACAAGTACTACACGCCATACCAGGAACATGTGGCCCTTCACGCACCAATCAGTGAGTATCCAGCTGTGATACAGCAACCGGGGAGACCCTGGGATCCAGGATCTTTCAAGGCAGAGGCCAATCGCACATCTAAAGCGATCACGAGGGACAGCCCAGTACCGGCATATTTCCCTGATAGCTGTCCTTTGGGGATATACTTTGAGAGAAGGAGTTGTTCCTATTTCAGTGCAAATAGTCAGGCCAGATTGCCTATAATTGTTAATACTATATTAAACTGTAAATAAAATTATACCTGTATTTTGCAGTTTACACATTTTTGACAATGTAGATTTTTCAGCTGGACCCATCACCTGCTTATGGCTTATATAAGATACCGTAGCTGTTTCTTCTCAGTAAATTGAAATATTCAAAAGTGTGGGAACCCCATTTGCTTACTGGTTGCAGCCATCAACTTCCAAGGACCGGCCCCTCGGTCCCATTCTCCTCCCTGCACCTGTCCCTAGTCAGAGGGACCGCCTCTGTCCTCCACCACCTCTTCAGCTAGGCCACCTGGGCTCCTTTGCCCTCTGAATCTCCAGTGGCAGTCTTGACACTCTTACTCAGTTAAAGCCTGCTCGGATTTTGCTTTCAATTGGACTGGTTGAAAGCCCAAGAAGTAGGACAGGAAAGGCTCCTTCAGCTCAAGCATCTAGCCCTCATTGCCCCAGGCAGTATGTAGCCTCATGACAAACAGTCCCCTCCATTGTCCCCCCTTTCAGTCCATTGAGGTCAGTGGCCATCACCTCGTCCCCACGGAAGCAGATTCTGCATGTTAACACTAATTTCTTGAGGAAAGACTTTCTTTGGCCTGTCCTGATCCGTTAGGACTGCTGTTTTGAGGGGGAGAACGGCATCCTCACCTTCACGTCTGCACCTCAGCACGTGGCTCTTTTTCTAAGATGAATAGCCCCAGTCTTGTAATCTGGGGGTTTTGTGGGCAAGTGCTGTTGCAGAGGCTTCGTAGGGGAATCGTTGGTGTCAAATTCAACGCATCCTTCTGTCTTCTTACGCTGCGGAGAAGATTGCCTGTAGCCTGCTACAGTCACCCTGATAAGACAGTCTTATCAGGGAGATGAACGGCATATACTGTAATTTTTGGAGTGTAAGATGCTCTGGACTATAAGATGCATCTACCTTTTTTGGTTAGGAAAACAAGAAAAAGAAATCTGCCTCTGCCTCCCAGCAATTTTGCCTCGTTACAGCAAAATAGCCTGCTTTACTTTCATTTTTATTTTCAGCATAGCTTGAGTAGCACCAAAAAAAAAAAAATTGTTCCCAGCCATTTACCTCTTTGCAGCAAGCAGCAGAGGCCAGGGCAAAACAGCTGAGAACAAAACACTCAGCTCTCAGTCGGGCAGCCGATCCAATCAACTTGTGCTAATTAGGCTGTGCTGAAGCTGAAATGGGCTGTTTCTTCTTGTTGCTTGCTGCAAGGAGGTAAATTGCTGGGAGGCAGAGGCCAAAGGGTGGGGGCCAGTGGGTGGGCAGGGCTACATTCGGTGTATAAGACGCACATAAATTTTCACCCCCTTTTAGGGGGGGAAAAGGTGCGTCTTATATGCCGAAAAATATGGTAAATATAATAAATAAATAGTCATTTGTCTTGATTGACGCTGAGTTTATTGTGCCAATAAGTTACTCATCCCAAGCCCTTGGGAGTGGAATTTTGGAGGTCGACCACCTCCTGGCCTGGAGGTCTTCATTAGCTCTTGTGTGGCCAATGGCCGTTGACAGACCTGTTGAATTAGGCCTGTCCTTCCTCTTGACCTGCATCCTCTATCAGGCTCTCTGGGTTACCCTAATTGTTTGAGCAGAGGGAGAATAGCTTTGTGCTCTGTTCTCTGTGTAAGGTTTTTTTTCTTCAACAGCCCCCCCTCCATTAGGTCCCCTTACCACAAAGTATAGTCCAGGTGTTGTCAGTGGTGCTTTAGGATTGTAGCAAGTGTCATCCCCTTCCCCGAAATTCCCCTAATAGTTGCAATGTCAGATTGGTGCAAAGCCTTTGCTGGAGCCCTGTTGTTCAGCAGGAAGGGATGTGAGAGGCAGCAGTGACCGGGCTGGCCACCCACCTCACTCACACTGCTCTTCCGCCTGGCAAAGACATTCTAGGCAGTGTGCCAGAAAGTTTGGGGGGGGGGCAGTATTGTTGCATTTGTTTACAAACAAATACCATCTCAAGGGGAATTTGTATTTGTCTTTTATCTATGGTTTCTTTGGAGGGGGGTGGGAATCATGATGCAATGGGTAAGGGTCTGATTACAATCCAGATCACATTACAGAGTGGTTGTTTTGTGGGGAAAATTGGGTGAGATAGTACTGTTGATGAAGCCTTAAGATGCTGGCATAAATGTAAGATATAAATAACTGAATAGAATACTAAATAATGTTTTGAAGTATAGAATGTTACACATTTTATTTTTTTATTTTCATTATATGTGCGTGCTTTGATTGGAACAATAAAAGACAGAATAATGAAATGAAAATGTCCCTGTGCGATTGTCTTCCATGTTAACTCTTAATTAGATGTAGCAGTAAATGGAGACTTATTCTGTAAATTCCTAAATTATACACCCAGATATTTAACTTTCAGACAAACAGAATTAAAAATTTGGTTCAGAGAAACTGTAGGGAGGGAGGGAGGGAAGGAAGGAAGGAAGGAAGGAAGGAAGGAAGGAAGGAAGGAAGGAAAGAAGGAAAGAAGGAAAGAAGGAAGGAAGGAACCCAGTTCACGTTTCTGATTGATGGGACCTCAAAGGAGGGAGTTGGCACATAAAATTGTTGTTTTCTAGATGGGGACAGAGAGAAGCCTGATTTTTTAGGATTTCTATTTGGCTAAAGAAATCTAATTCTTTGTGGTCAACTGTATATTGATGATGAATGTGCATAGATTTGAATAGGGTGGTTTTGGAGAAATTCTTACTGTGACTGTACATCGCAGCAAACCCATGTCTCAAGATAACGTTCTCTTTGTGAGAGAGGCCCTCTGGTGGGTGTCATGTCATGTCATGTACATTTTTACTAAAAGCGGTGCCTTTGGGCAGCTGTTTCAGTGTAGTAAGAAAATGTTTTATTTTTTTAGTTTACCAGTTCATTAACACTAAGGCTGGTATGGGAGGTTTTGAGCTTCTTGAAAAGCGGAAGGCGAGAGATGCCCCCCCCTCCCTAAAGGGCGCTTGTCCCCTTTGCCAGAAGGTCTTGTGGGGATCGGGCAGGGGTTGCTCAGATGACACTAAAGCTGACCGAAATTGGAGAAGCCAGAAATTCAAAGCCCTTGTGTCATGCTTGAGAATTTACAGTGGGGGTGGGGGGCTGCAGCGGGGCCCAGTGTCCTAAAGGCTTTGGGTAGGGGGAGCATGGACATCTTGTAGAGAGGGGGAAGCGCCCTGGCAGAGGCAGGTTCTGGGCACTGACTTCTCTATCCCAGCACTAGTTCTGAGTGTTCATATCCAGAGTACTCTCGATCTCCACTCTTCGTGGCTGTGAAGACCCAGGCGAGCCAATCGGGCAAAAAAACGCCGACGGCGCCCATAATCCGGTGCTCCACCCTCCTCCACCGCACTCCCTCCGGTATCCCACCGGCGGCATCCCCGTCACAGACGTTCCGCGCTCCAAATTCTGGATCCCCAGGAAGCAAGGCCACCACAGGTACAGATCGTGCTTTCTACCATCCCAATTGATTAACCCCCCCCCCCAACTGCCTGTGCACCCCCAGGCCCCAAAGGGGATGGCACCGGTGGTTCCCGGGGACGTGTGACCCTTTGCGTGGGGACCAGAGCCCCTGAGAAGCCCCCAAGGGTCCCGTGAGTCCACAGAGAGCCTTGCCGAAAACATCTTTTAGGAATACGGGCAAAGGATGGAGGAGCAGACTGAAGAAAAAGTGTCCTTAAATTGAGTGAAGGTGGATCATTGAAGTTATTTTGATATCAACTAAGAAAAATATTTTCATTGGAAAAAAGGAACAGAATACTATTGGATTTCCTTTTAGTTTAGTGTTTCGTACTTTTTAAAAATAGAAACAGCCTAAGGATTTGCTAAATCTTGAATGCCATTTTATGATGTTCAACTGGAGGCATTTATTGTGGATTATGGAATTTTTTTATATGTATATAATTTTTTTACTGCCCTTTAGTATTATTTTAAAAACCTTTTTGACCCTCCTTGTCCCACCGACATCTTCCCCACAGACCAGTCCAAAATTGGTGGCATTAAGATGCATGAGTGGAATGGTAGACGAAGGAAGAGAGGTCGGGCTTGGTGAGGATGACTTGCTCTCTCCTCTCCTCTCTGGATGTAAAAGAGTGGGGCCCCTTGCGACTTGGGTTGAGGGCTGGCCAGGAAAGGCCTTTTCCCTTGTTTAAGTTGCTCCTTCAGTGATTGGGCCGGGAGGAGCAGGCAGGCTTTGGGGGTCCCCATTGGCAGCAGAGCAGAGCAAGACAGAGGGAGTCCTTGTGGTACGTGGAGAGGTCCCTGTGCCTGTGATTCAAAGCCTCTTCTCTTGCCTGGTAAGCGATTGAGACGGGTGAGAGCTGAGATGGAACGGATGTCAGCATTTCTGCCAGATCCAGGGACAGTTTGGGGTCTGGACTCTTCCCATACTTGCTGCTGCCGGCTGTTTCAAAGGCTCCTGCACTGGGCTGATCGGCTGAATCATGGCGGGCCTCTCAGCTGGCTGACCAGGTGTTTTCTGGAAGCCCCTGCCCTTCTGCAGGAATTGGGGTTGCTTCCGAGGGAGAAGGCCCTGGAAAAACCTAGGGAAGGAGCAGGCTTGTGGGGAGGATTTTGGCCACATTTCCCTGGGAACGAGAGATAAGAGGGCAACATTGGTGGCGGTGGAAATCGTACAGTGGAGGGGGTGATGAGTACACTAAGTATACCAAAGAAGCCCCAAATATCTCCAAGCACCTGATGTCTTAAATGTGAAGGAACTTTCCTGACTGGAGCAATAAAGAGAGAGTTACCTGCCACACCTTGTGACTGTAGCCTTCAGATGCCAAAAGCTGAGCCTTGGAGTGAGCCAGTATGTAATCATGCACCGCACAACATTGTGTATCATTGGGATGTAAGTGAGAGGCCTGTCTCCCTTGTACCTGCGGACTCACATCTGTGCCAGGGAAGACTGGGGTGAGTGTTGCCTTGGCAAGTGGTTGTGAGAAGACACTTGGAGGCTCCTGCTTTGTCCTGTAGGGCACTGGCTTTTAAGAACACTCAGCTCTGTGGCAATTCCCTTTGCTTGCTAGATTTCATAATTACCTTAAAAGAAAATAGTTTCTTTCTTTCTATCTATCATAGAGCCATCACTGATTTGGTCCTTTGAACAAATGACTTTAAAACCCTGCGAGACGCTTTGCTCTCAGTACAGCCCCTCCCCATCTGTGGCAAGTCACTATGCGAGGAAGACTCTTGTGTGATGCTGTCACAGCAATACGTGGGGTGTTTGTGGAGAGGCAGGTGATTTGGGTTGGTTGAGACACTCAAATTATTTAAACTACCAGTATTTCTTTTTGTCTCGCTGAGTGAACCAAATATCTTCAGAAATGTGTACTTTGGGGGTGGGTGAAGGGGGACATAGATTTTGCCTGCTTTTGTGCCTAGACATGATTATGAATTGCATCAAACTGTGGTCCATTGTTTCTTCCTTAGGATTGAGAGAATCTTTAAACACATGTTTATTTTTTATTATACTTTTAATCCTCTCAATAATGAGAATCACCTGGATTTATGGCAAACTGAACAAATCGAGAGACATTACAAAAACAGAGCATAAGGTTGATTTGTGACGATGTCCAGGCGGATGGGAGGGTCTCACCAGAGCCAGCAGGGCTGCACTGCTCAGGCTGTGCATTTCCACACAGCACAATTGCACAAGCGGTCCAGGGTTGCTTGTGTGGGCTGTGCCGCTTGTGAAGGTAAAACAAGGTTAGGGTAATGATGGCTGCCATGTTGAACAGAGAATGGAAAAAAATGTAATTTTTAATCTGTTACTGTTTTATTTTCAGCAAAATTGCACAAATTGCACATTGTAAAATGATAGGCCTCTGCCGTTTGCCCCTGAAGTTGGTTCAGGCTACCCAAGCGGGCTTCTCCGGCTGGTTCTCGTGTTTGGCATCAGGTCTTTAGCAGAATCTTCAGCTGCTTCAAGCCTGGTGAAGACTCTGTTCCCATTTCCTGGGCTATTTAAGCAGCCCGAGAGAGAACCTTCTCTGCTTCTCCTGCTGACGGGCCTGCTTGGGATCAACACTCACCAGCCCCTTTCTGTCTTTCCTTATTCTCCCACCCAGCAGAAAGTGCTTTCAGTCGAAGAGTGGAAAGCAAACTGCAAAACAACTTTGAAGAAACTAACAGCAGCTCCCAGAACTCCAGTGGTGAGTACTTGCCCTTCCCTGGACACCATTGTGCAATGTTGCAAATGTCCCTTTCCCCCACAGGATGAGCAAAGAGCAAAAACCTGGGTCTGGACTTAAAGGTGGCCCAGGGCAACAGGGGAGCAAAGAGGGACATGCCTGGTTCCTTGGTGTTTCTTTCAGCCACCCATGTCAGTCGGTGTCTGGGACTTTCTTTCTTGATCTGGCCAACTGCCAGCTCTGTGAATTTATTAAAGTTGGATGCTGCCGTCTCTCAATGACTCTGAGCAGCTCACTGTAATCAAGGAGATTCCAATAAAATCAAGACAAAATAAAAAAAATAAAGATAAAAGACAGCAAACTAGATGATGTGTGGGGTCTTAAGATTACCTTTGGTGAAAGCCTGGTTGAAGAGGCAGATCTTCAGAGCTCTTCTAAAAAAGAGCAGAGGGGGGGTAGGGCTTGTCATCCAGAGTTTGGGGAGAATCTCATTGCAGGGGGGCCATGCATAGGAAAAAGCGCAGTGGAAGGCTGTGTGTCTGTTGCAGGCAACAGAGGGGTCCCGTCCCCCCTTCGTGAGTCCGTCTCAGGTTGGAACGCTTTTGCTGGCTGAATCAGACTGTAATAACTCTCTGGCTATTCTGTCAAAAACATGATAATTGCAAAGAGAAAAGTTTCTTTAGAAACAGAAGCGTCTCCAGCCTCAACTTTCTTGGCAGAATCGGGATGCACTTGTGCATCTATCATGGCAGGAATCACAGGAAAGACTGGACTGTCCAGGGGTGAAGCCCCACCTGCATTTTGATTCCATTTCTGTCATCCTGGGAATCACCTGCACTGAAACCTCTACTCAATGGACGGTTAATGGCGGAAACAGCGGCTATGAAGCATCTGTGTGTGTAAGGGGGGGGGGAGAAAATATTTTAAATTGATTTATTAATTAAACCCTGCAACCCTAGATTTAAATTCCCTGGGAAATTAAAAACCATCCTTTTATATGGCTGTCTTTTTTGAGTTTCGAAGTGATTTCTGCAAAAGCAGCTATAATGTGAGCTAGAGGTGAAATACATTAAATGAACCTTTTTTTTTTTTTGTTAAATCTACACAAATGTGATTGTGCACATTACACATGCCTGAGCAACATCTGCATTTTTTCTCTTGGTGCTCTACATTTGGATCATCTTTTTTTTTTTTATTCAAGCAATCATAAAGTAGGTGAGCAGTGACTCATGACCTGCAAAAGTGCAGATGGAGATGAGGAAGACTTTAAAGGATGGTTTCTCTGCCTGGTGTGGGTATTGTGCCCCCCCCCCCAAAAGGATGCATCCCTGTTTATAACATAGGGGGAAGAAGGAAGAGATGGCAGCCAGAAGCTCCTTTGTCCCAGAGGGGGAGATTGTAGGGAAATGAAGAACAGGGAAAATACACCATGATTGTTGTGACTCCCCTGGAATGCTCCGAAGTTTTTGTTTTTGGTGGAAGCCCTGCCCAATTCCACGTGGGCGCTCCACACCGTTCCTCGGTTTCTTTTCATCACCACCAGAGCTTCTCATTCCGTTCATTGCTTTTTGGCTTTCAAAACTTCCGGCAGCATAGTGCTAAGTTTCCGCCTCTTTGTGGCTGGTACATTTGCTTCAAGGGCACAGAGTCGGCACCCCCATTCCCCGCTGTGAACCAGGGAGGCCTGATTACATTGGGATCCTTGATGCCATTGGTGTCTTAATGGGAGGAAGCTTTCGGTGCAGCAACTTCCATTACTAAATTGGCTCCGGAGACTTAAGTGTCCTCTTTGCATCTCATCTATGGAGGGTCAGGAAAGAGCAGCTGCAACAGATGAGACTGAGATGGGTGCACGCTGCTTTTCTAGCGGTCGCCTGCGATACATGCAGAGGGCCTTTGTTGCTAACAAAGGACAAATTGACCCTTGCAGAATGACATGGGGGACAGGAAGGTGACATCCAGACACTCCTTTCTGAAACGCAGATTCAAATGGGGACGCCATGAAACTTGATATACGCTATCCCTCTACTCTGTTCCGTTTTGAAGTCCTCTGCATTAGGAGAAGCCTCTTCAAATGCAGAATAGTCTCTTGGCTTGGCTACAGGAGATCTTCGGCCATGGGGGAGGCGTCTCAGCAGCTTTGTTGCCCTCCACAGTAGTAATGCCCATAGCATTAAGCAGAAGACAGTTGATGGCAGCTTGCATGACATGGTAAGGAGTCTGTGTTTCTTCACAGTGAATGTGTGACACAGTTGTGCAATTTGCTGGCCCAAGAGGTGTGGCCTTTGGCCCTAAGGTGACCCAGTCGGGGCCTTTTGTACATATCTGTCAAAGATTCTTGGCAGAGTTATTTGAAAAAAGCTGCTCAGAGTCATCTGAAGCATGAGATATTGACAAATTTGATAAATAGATAAAATGAAACCAGTCACTTCCTAATGTTTACAGTTCTTGGTGGTTTGGGGGCCTTATTGCTCTTAGGTCTCCAGCGTAGTGCTTGCATTCCTCATGGGGGGGTCTCTTCAATGTCTGCATCTCTTTCTTTTTTGCAGAAACCGCCAGTCCTCTGGTTTCAAATCCTTTACCGCTTTTGCAAAGTAAGTGCGAGGGACGGCCGTGTCCAGCGGTGTGCGTGCACCCGGCTCTTCTTAAATCGCCCCTTCCCCGCCCAGTACAGATCTTTAATTAGTAATATTTCTGGTTTTGATTTGCACTTCTGTCATCCTGAATTTGGCCGGCTGCTGTTCAGTTCACCAGAGCCAAGTCCACTAATGCGCTTTCTTGGTCTCCCTCTTTTAGAGCCATACACCTGTGGGGCCTGTGGCATCCAGTTCCAGTTCTACAACAATCTCCTTGAGCACATGCAGTCTCACGCAGGTGAGTCTCTTGGTTGCTCCAAACGTCTCTAGCGCCCAGGTCCGCAGGAAATCTGCAGTTTGGTGGAATGGTCTGTGCCAATGTTGGTCTTTCTCTCTCTTCTCTGAAAAAGTGTGTTTCCTCTTTCTATAACCAAGGACAACATATCCAAGCAGTAATCCCCTCATCCAGGAGTGTGAATTTTGCCAACAGGCATGGATGGACATTTGATAAAAGAGATGATCCTGACTGTTTTTGGAAATGTGCAAGCAATACAGGTGGTTGGTGGGAGGGAAGTTTGGGACTGAATGGTTACTAACTGGCTTCTGGGTGCGCTTCAAGGTGTTGGTTACCACCTTTAAAGCGCTCCATGGCTTAGGGCCTGGGTACTTACGGGACCGCCTTCTGCCACCGATAGCCTCTCACCAGTCAGTACGCTCTCACAGAGAGGGACTCGTCAGGGTGCCGTCGGCCAGACAATGTCGGCTGGCGACCCCCAGGGGAAGGACCTTCTCTGTGGCAGCACCTGCCCTCTGGAACGACCTGTCCCCGGAGATACGTAGGATACCAGATCTCCGTGCTTTTCGATGTGCCCTTAAAACTTTTTTATTTCATCAAGCTGGGCTGGCGTAATCCCCCCTTAGATATTTTTAGATATTTTTAACTGTAAATTGATTTTAGTTGGGGTGTTTTAAATTTATTGGGCCAATTTGTTTAATTCTTTTAAAAATTTTAAATTTTTTATGTGATGTTTTTATTTTTGGCTGTTCACCACCCTGAGTCCAGCAGGAGAAGGGCGGTATAAAAATTTAAATAATAAATAAATAAATAAATAAATAAATAAATAAATAAATAAATAAATAAATAAATAAATAAATAAATGGCAGAGAAGCTCCTATTGGGAAAAGTGCCACATCAAAGACAGGGCAAACCTCAAAAATGTCAGGATGTCATTAGCAGCATATTGGAATGTGGGGTGGGGATTGAAACTTGCAGTTGCCCCATGGCACACTTTTCCCCCTTTGACTTCAAGCAAGTATAGGAAAGTATGAATTTAGATATTGCTATGAACCAAAAGATCATGATGGGGAACAAGGATGAGCAAACCGGGGGTGGGGGGGGAGGGGAGGGCGGACTTTAGCAAGGCTACTTCCAAAGCAAGCAAATTTGGGTCATCAAGATAAGCTTCTGTGCTCTGTTCCTGTGTGGCACTAAAGTAAAACTAAAACCTGCATGTGATTGTGGAGGGTGCGGTGTCAGGATTGTAGTCTCTCCCTTCAATGCATCTGCATCTCCATCTCTCAGGATTATTGTGTGATTTTCACCAGCATGACACTATGTGGTTCAAGTGCAGTTTAGCGTGCGTTACCACTATGGAAAACTCACATTTGAAGGAAAGGCAGCAAAAATGATAAGCCTGTCCATACTGGGATACGTGGCACATGGTGGTGCCAAGAGCCACTTTTCCTCCCTGGAGCCCCACCCTGCACCTCCCCCTCTGCAAGGGAGTAATGGGCAAATCTGCCTCTGCATGGCCATAGCTGCCCTCTGCCAAGGCATCGGAAGGGCCTGTGGTCAAAGGCAGCTTCCAGCCTTGCATTGTGGAAGCTGCCCAGGGAAGCAGAGGGCATTGGCTGCTGCTGAGTTTCGTGACTCAGGGAGGTGTTTGCAGTTGTGTGACTTGTGAAGCCTGCGTTGAATTGCTGCTCCCTAAGGCAGAATTAGTGCAGTCACTTCCTGTCCTCTCTGCCTCTTTGCCCTTCAGCTGACAATGAAAACAACATTGCCTCAAACCAGCCCAGGTCACCTCCAGCTGTGGTGGAAGAGAAGTGGAAGCCGCAGCCACAGAGGAACAACTCCAACAACAGTATGTGACCTATGGGAGAACCAGTCGGGGAGGGGGAGGAGGAGGAGGAAATGGGCCAGCTGGTTTCTGTGGTGCCCTCCCTCCCTCCCGAGTAGCATCATGCTGCACCCCAAGGAATCTTGATTCTCTTGGATGGGTCTCTTCTTGGCCTCCAAGACAAAGCTCCTTGCGTCCCTTCTTCTCCATGTAGGCCAACTGGGGCTACAGCATGCAGGCACCCAATTTCTCTCTGAAAGTCTAAAGGGAGCACAAGACCCCCCTCTTTATGCAAATGATTTCCTCCTGTGCAGCCGAGGCGTTTTGGTCTCACATTGTAAAGCTCAGAGGTTTACAATGTGAGACCAAAAGGCCTCGGCTGCTGCCAGGACTGAGAAGAGTTTTATTTCTAGTCATTCCCCCCTTTGCCCAGGTTGGCCAGTTGGTGCCCTTGTGGGTGGATATTGTTTCCTAGCGTCTTGCGACCGGAGTGAGTGTGTAATAATGACACAGTCTGGGAAGCATCTTAATGTTCTAGAAGAAGGAAGAAGGCCGTAAAATTTAAAAATCAGGACTGCGGTATTTGCTCTTCCTTGCCTGATAAAAAATCCAAATCAAGGCAGAATACTTTTAGTAGGCATGGGGGTTTATTGGAAAAACAACTACATCCTCTCCCATGGAATATTTCCTTTTTTCATGCCAGAGGCAAGGGAGGAATCTTTGCTACATTAGTCACAAGTGCATGTCACTGCTTTTTTTTTTTTAATCTTAGCTTTTCTTAGCTAATAACTGTTACTGATTTGCAATCTTCAAACCTCGTTGCCCATTGCAAACCTTTCGTCTTCCTTGTCTGCAGCATCAGCTGGCAGCTCCCTCCTGAACAGCCCCATCCCGGAGAAGGAGCGGCAGAACATAGCAGAGCGGCTGCTGAGGGTGATGTGCGCTGATCTGGGGACGCTGAGTGTGGTGAGCGGCAAAGAATTTGTTAAACTGGCGCAAAGTCTTGTTGACAACGGTGCTCGCTATGGCGCCTTCTCCGTTACGGAGATCCTTGGCAACTTCAACACGCTAGCCCTCAAGCACTTGCCCCGGATGTACAACCAGGTGAAAGTGAAGGTCACCTGCGCTCTTGGCAGCAATGCCTGCTTGGGCATTGGCGTCACCTGTCACTCGCAGAGCATTGGCCCCGATTCCTGCTACATTCTGACGGCATACCAGGCGGAAGGCAGCTGCATCAAGAGTTACGTCCTTGGGATCAAAGGGGTGGACATTCGTGATAATGGGGATTTGGTCCACCACTGGGTGCAAAACGTGCTTTCCGAGTTCGTTATGTCTGAGATCCGGACCGTGTACGTCACAGACTGCAAGGTGAACTCCTCTGCGTTTTCCAAGGCGGGCATGTGTTTGCGTTGTTCTGCGTGTGCCTTGACCTCCGTAGTGCAGAGCGTGCTTAACAAGCGCACCCTCCAAGCACGCAACATGCACGAGGTCATTGAGCTGCTGAATGTCTGTGAGGACCTGGCGGGCTCTGCAGGGATCTCCAAGGAGACCTTTGGCTCCCTGGAGGAGACCTCCCCTCCCCCCTGCTGGAACTCCATCACGGACTCTCTGCTGCTTGTCCACGAACGCTATGAGCAGATCTGCGAGTTTTATAGCCGGGCCAAGAAGCTAAACCTTATCCAGAACCTCAACAAGCACCTGCTGAGCAACCTAGCGGCCATCCTGGCTCCGGTGAAACAAGCCGTCATTGAACTGAGCAACGAGAGCCGGCCAACGTTGCAGCTGGTGCTGCCTACCTACGTGAAACTGGAGAAACTCTTCACCTCAAAGGCCAACGACGCGGGCATTGTCAGCAAGTTGTGCCACCTTTTCCTGGAAGCCCTGAAGGAGAACTTTAAGGTGCACTCGGCTCACAAGGTGGCCATGATTCTAGACCCTCAGCAGAAACTGCGCCCAGTCCCCCCTTATCAGCACGAAGAGATCATTGGCAAGGTGTGTGAGCTGATCCACGAGGTGAAGGAATCTTGGGCCGAGGAGCCCGATTTCGAGCCCGCCTCCAAAAAATCTCGGACCTCGAGTGAGAGTTCTCCGACTCGGGAGGAAGACCGGTCGGGCAAAAGCGAGGTCTATGATTACTTGCAAGAGCCCCTTTTTCAGGCGGCCCCTGACCTCTTCCAGTACTGGTCCTGCGTGACGCAGAAGCATACCAAGCTGGCCAGACTGGCCTTCTGGCTCCTGGCAGTGCCCGCTGTGGGGGCCAGAAGCAACTGCGTCAACATGTGCGAACAAGCCCTCCTGATTAAGAGGCGGAGACTGCTGAGCCCTGAGGATATGAACAAGCTCATGTTCTTGAAGTCCAACATGCTTTAAAACGAGGGGGGGGTGCCCTTCCAGAACACGTCCCCGCCACACGCAAACACTGTTCCAAATCCAGAATCCACTGTGGACCTCATTCGGAACACCCTGGGAAATAAAAAGTGCTTTTGATATACATATTGATACCTCTATATTAATATGTATATAAAAAGCTCAATGGAAAGGAATGCGGGTGAGAAGAACACATATGCTAGAAACACACTCCTTCCTTTAGATTTCTGTGTGAACTTGATAAAACCTCATGTTTTGAAGAGGGCAGGCCAGTTAGTCTGGGGTCTTTAGGCAGCTGAGTTTCTAAATTAACTTGAATGGTTGTTTCATTATTACTCTTTTCAGAAATAACACCCCCCACCCCCCAACAGCCAACCTTCTGTTTTCCTTCCCCTCTTTGGAGCCCTGATGCCAGGGACAGCCAGCCTTGTTGATCTCTGCCAGTTTTTGGGCCCACTGGATGGCTCCTCCTATGAGCCGGTGTCCCCTCAGGGGTACTCAAGGTTTCCTCTTGGCAACATAAAACATGACCTGTTTGCAGGCAGCTGTCCTTCAGAAACAGGAATGGAGACTTGAAGAATTAAAAAGAAAAAATTCCAGGAGAAAAAAGATACCTGACTTCGATACCAGTGACTTGACTACTCTTAAGGAAAAAAAAAAAGAGGGTGGTGGTGGTGGTGATTAAAACCTGAAAGAATATTTTGCAGAAAAGAATGTTCAATCCTGCTGTTAAAGTCCCCACTAGCCACTCTGCCTAAACTGGGTGGCATTTAGGTTTCTGTCCGTTGGCTTGGGAAGAGGCGCAGGGAGGCTTTTTGTGTCCCCTCAAAATGCTGGCCATAAAGCATCAGTAGGAAGCTCTTCCCTGCCAGGCAGCCTGCTCCACACCTGTCCATCTCCCAGCCTTCAGAGACATTTTGCTATGTAAGAACTTCTTTTGATACTCTTGCCCAGTTCCCACGTTCAGAGCAATAGTTGACTTGAGGCAGTTGTCCTTTGAGCATCGCATTTCTGGCTTCACTCCTGGCGAGGAGGCGGAAGGTAAGAGCACAGCCGAGGTGCTGCGGTTCTGCCTGGGCTGCTGGCACGCCTCTTCTGGGGCCTGGTGGTTTCTCTTGGGTTGCACCTGGTGGTGGCGGTGGTGGTGTTTTGGTTAGGCAGACCCAAACTGCAGCATCTTCTTCTTCTTCTTCTTCTTCACTTCTCCTCCTCCTCCTCCTCCTCTTCTTCCTCTTCGCCTTCGTCTCCTCCTCCTCCTCCTCCTAAGTATTGTTGGCAAGAGGAACGGAAGGGATTACCCAGTTTTGCCTGCTGCCCGTGGAGGTGCTCCTCATCCTGCCAGCAGCAGAAGGGATGATGCTCCTTGTGGGGTGGGGCACACACCGCCTGGCCCTCAGTTGAGCCATCCCGGTATGGCTTAGGAGAGACCCGTCCCATTTCTCTTCCCTTTCATGCCAGCTGCCAGCCAGACAACTGTTGGAGACCCCTGAAAGGGGCTTAGACTGTGACCCTGCCTGTACTCCAGCCCTGCTGCCCACTGGAGTGGATCTCCCCCCCTCCATTAGAGCCCAGGGTGATCCACTGCTGCATTTGCTGCTCCCCCTTCAACACTGAGGGGAGGGGGATGGTGTGGGTCATTTCCCTCTGAAGGTAGTTTGGGGGCTGCCCCATTCCATGTTGCACATCTAAGCTTTAAAGTCTGCATCGGCCAGGCAGCGTCTCCACCAGGAGGTCACTGTGATCTTTAGTGAGATTTAGATTATTGTAACTCTCATCTAACTAAGCTGTGTTGGTCACGCAGATACCTGGACGGGGTTTTTGAATACCTTTCTCCTGCTGGTCTCTTCTTCATGTTCCTTCTCTTCCTCCCCTGGACACTGGGGTTCTTGTGAGCATAGGTTAACTCTTCGAATGCTATGAAATTTAAACAGAAATTTAATCTCCAAGAACAATTGTTCACTCTTTTAAATCTGCCTTAGGTGTTCTCATAGATCTGGTTATTACAAATTTTCATAAGAAATGCACGCCTAGCACAATAAATACGAAGACAAGAGGAATTCCATTCTGAATTTTGGAATTATTTTAAAATCCCTCAATTCTGACATTGTTTTTAATTTTTTTTAAAAAAACCACACGGCAGGAGAATGAAATGCATGGCAATTGCTCACAGGCATCACTGTGTTTGGGGGTGGACAGGCATGGCCTCCTCCGTCATGAATGCGGTGGGAGAGAAGAGAACGGGAGCAGGGAGCAAGTCAGATGTACAAGAAAGCCCCTAAGTGGAACTCTCAAGCTAATGACGTTTTTGTGCTAGAACAGCAATGGTGGGGATGCGACACCTTCACAAGCAACAGGAATGTCAGGGTAGGAGAATATCCAGACAAATCTTGTGCATATTGAGGAAGAAGGTGGGACAAAGCCAGAAGCTGGGGCAATGGTGTGGGAAACTCTTAAGGTTGTCGACAAATTAGCTCCGCTGTTGCCTTTGCGAAGCTGGTTTGGGAGTGGGGGTGGGGAGTTGTTTCCGTTCCATTGCCAGCTTCTCTGACTGGTGAGGAAACCGGGGGCCCACCTCCTAAGGGGTGGCCCCACTTTCAGCAGTCACGGTTGCAGGGCTTGGTTGGGGTCCGAAGCGGAGGAACTGAATGCCCAGAGAAGTGGCTTCAGAAGGCCCCTTGCGCTCCATCTGCAGGCCCGCTTGCAGCCACCGAAGCGGGCACTCTATAGGGCTGGCTGGCCACATCTAGGTCTCTCCTGCTGTGGCTTAGGCTCCTGTGCACCACACATGGCTGTGCACCACACACGGCTGCCTCAACAGTGCCCTGAACAGCCAGCGGAGGGTATCCATCTCTGCTTCTCAAAATAGGTGAGTCCGTGTCACCGTGAAGGACTTGGGAGAGGTGGCAGGCGATCCCTGAGAAGCCATGTTCTCATTCTTCTTGCCCTCAGGCAGACAATTTCCAGGGTGATGAGTTTTTTAAAGTACACACATTTTCTAAGGCGGAAAATGATCGCTCCTAAGAGAACGATCAAGGAGCTGAAGAGCAATCGCCCACTCTAGGGCTGAAGCTGCTGGGAGAGGGGAGAACCTCAGTGGGACCATAGGGTAGGAGGGTGGAGAACTTCCTTGGGTTCTGGAAAAGGCTTGAAGCAGTTCTTGTGGGCACGGGTTCAAAGGATTAGTGGAGGCCGCCTGACCAATCAGCAGATGGGTCCAATGCCAGCTTGGATAAATGACCTCTCCACATTTTCTACCTCTTTGGTGTTTCTTGAGAGCTTCCTCTGTCTGCCAACTACCAACTGCTGTCACAAGGAGGGGGTTTGGTCTTTGGCCACTTGGATAGTCAACCCATGGTTGATCAATTCCATGGTGTAGAGGTTAAAACTGCGGCGAATGTCAGCAGGAGCCAAAGCCAGCAGTAGTCGGGCTGCCTGTCGGACCCCTTCCCGCTCGTGAATTGGGATGGTGGTGCGGAAAGGCCCGGCGAAGCCTGGCATGGGGGAAAAGCAAGCGTGTTGCCCCTGTCTCGGGTAGCTTGGTGTTCCTGGCAATACGAGATGCTTCCGAGACTGCATCTTGCTACCTTGGAGAGTTGCATAAATCTAAATGTCATCTTAAAGAAGAGAGAACAGAAAAAAATTAAAAAAGTATATACAAAAAATATTTTTAGGCCAGAGTTTTCTACAGGTATTAATGAATATTTTTCTTAATCCTCATAAGTTTTACTGTGTTTAATATTTCTTAATACCGGTAGCATTAATTTATACTTTTGTAGCAACACACTATTTTTATAAAACGCCACCACTTGGCTTGTCTTCGTGAGGGGAGGGGGGGATTGTGTGAGGGCAATGTGCTGACCCATGTACTGTATTTAAAAAGAGACAAGTTATCTACTGTCACGCTTGCTGTGTGTTAATAAACAAAAAGGAAACTTGTGCAGTGTTGCATCTTCTGTAACGTTGTGACAAAGGCAGGCCAGAGATGTGCGGGGAGTGGGGGGGGGCACCCGGTAGAGCCCTGAGGACAGACCGGGGGGTAAAGTGCTCCTGGCCTGCGCCGTTTGTGGACGAGGCTGCGTGATTGGCTGTGTCCAAACGCCGTTCGGTAGCGGAGCCTCGACGCCCGAAGTGCCGTTTACAAACCCTGACAAAAGCGGAGGCCGTGCTTTAGGGCCACGCAAGGGCGTCTTTAGGGCCTAAAAGTTGGAGGAAAAGTGCCACAGTGATTGTAACCGCCGGGTGCGCTGCGGGAGCCTTGGGCCGCGGAGGTAGCGACCGAGGCGCATCTTGGCCGGTTTAGCTCGAGGGGCGGGGAGGCTGCGCGATCGGAGCGCCTGGAGCCGGGCGGCCGAAGGGGAGGGAGGGAGCGCGGGCGGGCTTGGGAAAGCGCCGCTGGGTCTTTAAGCGGGGCGGGCCCTCGGCGAGGAGGAGGAGGAGGAGGAAGCCGCCGCTCCACCCGCCAAGGGCAGCCTCGGGGCGGGTCCGGCGTCCAGCGACCGCCAAAGGCTGGCACTCGGGAAGCTGTGCCAGCCCCGGTCAGCCGCGCGATGCAGCCTCAGCCGCCCCTGCACAGCGGGTACTTCCACCCGGTGCTTCGCTCGTGGCAGGCGACGGCCGCCGCCCTCACCGCCCGGCATCTCGTCTACCCGATCTTCGTCTCGTAAGTGCCTCGGTGGCTCCGGCCGGGTCGGGGAGGGCGGAGGGGGGGACGCCTTCAGCCTTCCCGTGGCGGCCCCGAGATCCGTCTCGTTCCCTTAGAAGCGACTCCTTCGTGGGCCCCGCGGCGAGGCTGCCTGGAAGCGGGCGCGGCGCCTTCCCCCTCACGGTGCCTCCCTCACTTGACCCTTCCAGGGACAGCCCGGATGCCGTGGAGCAGATCGCCAGCCTGCCCGGCCAAGCTCGGTAAGTCGGCCTCGCGCTTCCAGCAGAGCCAGCCGAGGGGCGGAAGGCCGGAGCTCCAGAGCCGGCCCTTGCTTGCTCTTGAAGAGGCTCCCCTGGTGGGTATCGGCGCGCCCTGCCTGCCTGCCTGCCTGCCTGCCGAGCCCTTCCTCCCAGGCTCCCTGGCAGGAGCGCCCCCTTCTGCGGCCTGCGAGGTCTTCAGCTGAAGTGAGTGTAGGGGGAGAGGGTCCTGGGGGAGAGAGGAGAGGAGGGGAGTGGAGGGGGGCTACTTCCTTTATCTCCTCCTTTGAGTTTTCCTCCCTCAGAATCGCCTCTTAAAGCTGCTTGTTTGGGTGGGGGGAGAAGAAAAAACATCATATTTTAAAGTCACTCTAGGCTGGTAGGTGTGCCCCCTTTGCCTGGTCCTGTGGGTGAGCTGGGAGATACAAGCTGGGCTTTCCCCTGAGAAAAACTTCCAATCGGCTGCCCGCTGGAGATAACAGCGTGTGGAAACCCCAGCCCAGCCCTTGGGGAGATGGCAGGGTGTACCCGTTACTCCCTCGGCCTGCTTGTGCAAGAAACACGTGCGTGCATGTAAGTCGTCCACTTTGTCTCTTGCCACACACATTGCTGCTTTGAACCCCATTGTTACTGGAGATTAAGGCTGAGGTCATGCTGCACCCATGTGAAAAACCAAATTTCACCTTTAATTTCGATCTCTAGGTTCGATCTCTAGGGAGCCAGAGTGGGATGGATCACATTCTATATAGCTCTATAGATAGTGATATCGATTTTTTTTAATTTGGGGAGACTCTATGCGGAGAGCTGGAATTGGGCGGCCGAGCCTGCAGTGCCCCCCTCCCCCCGCCAGATCTTCATGGGCACCATCATGTTCTACATGATCTCTGGGTTCAAACCTCTCGGCTTGACCCACTTGGCTGTTTGGGGTCTGCCTCCCATTCTGTGAGTCGCCCTGCTGAGCTGACAAGTGACTCCTTCCCCCCTCCCCAGGCACGGGGTCAACAAGCTGGAGGAGCTGCTGGGTCCCCTGGTGGCTGATGGGCTGACGTGTGTGCTGATCTTTGGCGTCCCAAGCCGGGCCATGAAGGTGCACTTCTGAGCTGCGCTAGAGCCACGGCTCCTGGGCAGAGGGCCTTGCTTCTAGATGGGTAGGTGGGCAGCTGCCTCTCCCTCTGCTCCGCAGGATGAGCGCGGCTCTGCAGCCGATGCCAAAGACACCCCTGTCATCCAGGCCATACAGACGATCCGCTCTTTGTTCCCTGAGCTGCTGGTTGCGTGTGATGTCTGCTTGTGCCCTTATACTTCACATGGGCACTGCGGTGAGTGCTGCTGGGCTTGGAAAGGACTAGAAGCTTGATATTCAGATGCCAAAATGGCTTAACATTTACAGCCGTAGGCAATAAGCCCCTGTGTCACCTTCTCCCTTTTGATCTGGGGCCAATGGCGCAGAGTGCCTGGGAAAGCAGGGAGAGTAGCGCTTTCCTTGCCTTGCAGGTCTCCTTCGGCAGGACGGCACCCTTCAGAATGAGGCCAGCTGCCGGAGACTTGCTGAGGTGGCCCTGGCCTACGCCAAGGCAGGTAAGGCGCTTACTATGTGGGTTGCAGTGCACTTCTGGGGCAGCTGCTGGGAGTAGGCAGAACCGCACAGGTGGCTCCTTAGCTGAGGTGGGGCTGGACCTCCACCAACAGTCAGGCCCCTGCCCCGGGACACCCTTAGCCTTGCTTCTCCCTTGAGGAACCCCGGTCAGGGAAGCTGCCACCATTGCCAGTTCCACATCTCCTGTTACCTTTCCTCAGGTTGCCACATTGTGGCCCCCTCGGATATGATGGACGGGCGCATCCATGCAATCAAGGAAGCCTTGGTTGCCAATGACCTGGGCAATAAGGTGGGTGTGAGGGACTAGTAGGCTCCAAAGAGATGTGGCCAGGAGCTTCTTTCATAGGTTGCTGAAACAGGTGAATTCAGTCCCGAGGCCAGGTGCAGGGCTGCTTTCAGAGGCTCCCAGAGTCCAGCTTTCCAGGTTCTGAACAGCTCAGTGGGGGAGGGGGCTGAAGGGCTCGGGGGGGGGGGAGGTGCTCAGGGTCTGGGGAGACGGGGTGCATGACTGCCACGCTGTCGTCCCTGCAGGTTTCAGTCTTGAGCTACAGTGCCAAATTTGCTTCCTGCTTCTATGGCCCTTTCAGGTGAGGGTTGCTGGGGCTGTTTTTGGTCAGGGAGAAGGATCCCCATGACCGAAGGCGCAGGCAGCCAAGCAGCCGTCAGAGAACTTGATGGGGCCCCTTTGGTGTCTGGGGAGCGAAAGGAGGTCATTCGGTTTCTTCTGGTTTGCGTAGAGACGCGGCCTTATCCAAGCCCGCCTTTGGGGACCGGCGGTGTTACCAGCTTCCTCCAGGATCTCGAGGATTGGCTCTGCGGGCAGTGGTGAGTGGCCTTGGGAGATAACCAGCTGGGTTTGTGGAGCAATGGGCCCTGAGGGCACTATTGGATGTTTACCAAGGGCATTCCCCTTTCGGGACATACTTAGCAGTGGGGTGGAGGAGGAGGGCTATGTATTTTGAAGGCCTGGGAAGTTGTGCGAAAAAAGGCAGAAGCGCCCAGAGGAATTACTGCTGGAGCCGGCCCAACTTGGACTGCCTTCTTGCTACCCCTCGGTCTGCTGGCTGTGCCAAGGGCAGCGATGCCCTCCAGCCTCTCAGCCAGATCTTCTCAGCTTTAGCCTGGCCGCTTCAGGGAGGAAGGAGAACATTTGTTTTCTAACACGTTCTCTGCTCTGGAGTGGTTTTATGCTACTGCTTTTAGTTTAACGGCCCCTGTAAATTGTAATTTTCAAACCATTTGTAATTTATCTCTGACATGCCCTATTTTGAGAAGGCAAAAGTAAGAGTCCAGGGGGAGAAGGAATCTGCGGCCAAATGCCTGTTGTGGCACAGTTGGCGGTTGTCTTTCCCTAGCCCATTCTCGTGGACTCCCTGGCCCAGAAAGGGGGAGGGAGGCTGGCCGGTTGACCCCATTGGTGAGCTTCCATGGGGGCCTTAGTCAGGGCAGACTGTTTTCCGCAAGGGATCAGGTGACTTCTCTGATCTGTGTGCAGATGAGAGAAGTCAGCACGTCAGGTGATTCGTCTTTTTCCCTATCTGAGAAAGTGCTTTCAAGGGCCGCTGGGCTTTTGCTGTTGGGGAGCAGACAACACCCACCACCACTACAGACAAGGGAATGTGTATTGCTGTGTGTTGCCTAGAGGAGAGGAGAGGGCAGAAAAGGCAAGGCTTGGCACCTGCAGGCTTTAGCCCAGAAAACAAGCTCTGCGTGTGTATTTGAGTGTGCGTGCACATATGCTCCGGCAGAGCCAGTTCGGCCGTTCCACCTGACCACTTGGCTGCCCATTGAGCGAAGCGTCGGGTTCAGCTCCTGCCTGTCTCGTGAAGTGACTCTGATACACTTCCCCCCCCACCATGACCTCCCTCTGCTGTATTCCCCTCCCCCCCACCAGGACCGGGATGTGCAGGAGGGGGCAGACATGCTGATGGTAAAGCCTGGGATGCCCTACCTTGACCTCGTGCGGGAAGTGAAGGACAAAGTAAGCCCCTCCCCCCACCCCGAGAGCGGGCAGCAGTGGGGGGTGCCTGGCCCCCGTCCCCCTGCTGAGAAATATGGTGTGTATTTCCCCAGCATCCCAGCCACCCCCTGGCCGTCTACCATGTCTCGGGAGAATTTGCCATGCTGTGGCATGGGGCGCAGGCCGGGGCCTTTGACCTGAAGGCGGCAGTGATGGAGGCCATGGCCGGGTTCAGGCGAGCAGGTGAGCGAGGGAGGGAGGAAGGTTAGCCAGGGCTGCCAATGCTGCTCCTCTGCAAAGAGAAGCCCAAAGCCAACGACCAGCGTAAGGTGGGAGGGGAGAGAGGACACTGGAGGCCCAGTTGGATTCCTGGGAGAATAACACCAACAGGCCACCTTGGCTGTGGAGGATGGTCCTTCACTGTAGGAGCAAACGGGCTGGTTTCCCACTCAGGCTGAATTGGCTGCGAGCCAGCTTCTTTTGCAAAAAAAAAAAAAGGCTTTGAGCAACGGGCGTGTTTGTGCCGGTTCATTTTGGAAACGCTTCTCTTGCAGGAGCCGATGTCATCATCACCTACTACGTGCCTCAACTTCTGCGGTGGTTGAAAGAAGGGCAGGCGTGAAGGGGGTCCCTGGCCTGGCTGCCAGGAGGGAAACAGGAAACATGCTGGAAAGTACTGGGCGGCCGAAGGCGGGAAAGTTTTTTTTTTCTTTTACAGCTTTTGGAAGATCTTGCTTCAAACTTGGCGTTTTATAAAGTAAATCAATTCGGTTGCTCCAAGCAATGTTGTAACATGATTTCCAGTCCCCTGCTGATACACTTTCTTTAAAAACAAACACGCCACAATGTTGTTATTTTTCCTCTTTGGATTTTGTTTGCCCTGGTTAGTAGCAAAATATCCAGAGACACGTATGGACTGAAAAGCAAAGTCCTCCCTTTGCCTGAGGGCTGCTCTGTATTCGCCATAACAAGGCCCATCCTCTACCAAAAGGAAGAAAAGAGGAAAGAATTTTTTCTAAAACAGAAACAAACAAACAAACAAAAACTTCTAAGCTTTAAGCAGCTCGGTATCCTCTTTCAAGGGAATTTTTTCCTGGTATGCAGGTGTTTGGCATGTTGAAATTTACCTGCAGTTTCAATTTGAGGCTTTGGGTATGTCAGTTTGCCTTTCAGATTCACTTAAACAAAACCTTGTTAAGGAAACAATCTCATAATTCACTTCTATAACCGGACAGGAGTAGAGGAGGAGTTGCTCCACCCACACGACCTAGAGAGGAAGAAAGGAGCTACTGCCCAATCCTGTCCTTGCCAACTTGGTTGACATTCAGGACGGTTCATTCAACTTGGCTTTGACAGACCATCAACGGAAGACTTTAGAAGCTTCCTAGACCACGTTAGACCCGCCATTCGGTTTTGGTTTAGGATGAGGCATACACCCAGCCATTGTGGCTGATTCAATAAACCATGAATTCCCACTTGGCTCCATGCGTGAACCCTGTCCCCCTTTCACGCAAGCGGCTGCTAGGCCGCCCTCCGAGCGGGGCGCCTCTTCCCTTCTTGCGTGTGCGCTGGAAGCCAGGTACCTTCCGCCTTCTGGGATGCAGACTTAATGCTCTGTGCCTTTCTGTCTCTTAGCAGGTGGGTTCTTTCGCTTCCCTTCCCTTTGCTCTGCTTTCTTCCAGCCATTTTTTGCTGCTTTCGTCTCCTGCCTTCTCTAAATCTACATGAAAGCTGGCGAGAAGTAAACCTAGTATTCACAGAGAGAAAAAAATCAATTATTATACGCATAGATATTCATCTGCTGCTGCTATAAATGGAGAAGTCAGTCTGTGGAGCCGGTATGAGAGGTTGGGGTTTGGGCTGTGTGGAAATGGGGGTGCTGTGTTGGAAGGATCTGAAGAGAGACGGGATCTGCTCTTTTCAGGGGAGAAAGAAGCGGTGGCCGCATCATACGTCCTCCTGTCGCCGATTCCCCATCCCCAGGTCCTGGTGAAAGGCTAAGCCCGTGGAAAGGTTGACTCTCAAGGGAAGGCAGTCCTTCAAGCGGAACTTCTGGTGCCGCCGTAGATTGCAGAGTGCAGCCTGATGCATGGAAACATACCAGCCACGCACAAAGGGCCCAGGGACGTGCGTGTGATCTTGTGAAAAAAGGTGGAAGAGGAAACCCAATCGGTTTTGTAGCCCTGGGCTGCTCCTGCTGAAGCCCTGCCTTCCCTTCAGTCTGCATCCGTTCGCCCAACCGGTTTGGCTGCCTATCGAATTCAGGAACGAAACTGATGAGATTAAGGGATCTGCGGGCTCAGATAGAGAAATGTTAAAGAAAGCGGCTGGATTTTGGCAATTGCTTTTAGGGGAAGAAACCGCAGTTTTAACAACTCTTAACCCAAAGTAAATTCAATTAAATGTATATCCCTGATCGTAAGAGGTTGCAGCATCAGCAGCCCAGGTTTCCTGTCTTTAGGTTGGGGTAACGGGCCTGCAAATGTAGCCAATACGGAATTGTAACTACAGCCAGATACAAAACTACTTTGGGGAACCGACGAGATTCCGACAGGCACACAACATTTCCACACGATTCCTGCCATCAGGACAAGAAACTTCCAACAGCCACAACGTAGCGGAAGAGCTTCATCGCTTTGGAGCATTCCAGAGCAGTTTGCCTATTCCAGGTGAGTTTACAGGCTTAATATACAGTTGCGATTCGGGAAGGAGCCCTCGATGTTTCTTTACACGCAATCTTTCTGTCCCAGCTCTTCTCCAAGCAACCCAACATGTTCTCCTTTGCTAGTGATATAGGAAGGGAGGCCCCCTTTTTTGGTAGGCAGTCTTACAGCGAGAGTCTGAGTTCTGCGGTCAAAGAAGGAACAGCAGCCACAAAAAGAAATAAACCCTTTTAGTGGGATTGTAAGGTGAGCCGAGGTGGCGCAGCGGTTAGAGTGCAGTACTGCAGCTACTTCAGCTGACTGCTAGTTCAGCCTATCAGCGGATCAAATCTCACCGGCTCAAGGTTGACTCAGCCTTCCATCCTTCCGAGGTGGGTAAAATGAGGACTCAGATTGTTGGAGGCAATATGCTATTTAGTCTACTGTCTGGTGTAAGCCGCCCAGATTCCTCGGAGAGCGGGCGGCATAGAAATGTGACTAATAAAATAAATAAATGTCTTTTTATCGCTTCAAATGCAGTGGATTCAGCGCCACCGCAGATCCAGGAAGCCTTTTTTCCTAGCAGCCAGCGCAAAGGTTCCTCCACAGTTGCCTTCTGTGTCAGGAACGCGCTATAAAAGTTAAGCAATCCCAGGAACGATTGCAATTCTTTTTTATTTTTGGGAGTATATAGTTTGCTCAACAGAAGTTGTGGGGGGAAAAGATAAAAACAATTTCAGGCACAATTACGTTTTATTATTTAGGAAAAAATAAAACAGGGAGGGCAACGTGCCGACAACGGCTCCTCCTCCGCTTTTGCCCAGGATCGTGGCAACCGAGAAACAAAGCTCCAAAGTGCAGAGCCACACCAAAAACCCCGCTATTCTATGCTCCTCTGAAAGGGACGAGCCGCTTCCCTTGGCCTTTTTCGCACGGCCGCCGGCTTCCTCTTCAGACCTCTCTGAAAGGGTTTCCTGGCATGACGGATTTCCTGTCCGTTCATCGCGACCTTCCCCCAGTGCCTTTGAAAAGGACTTTCCTGCCATGGCCGACATCCGGTCCATCTTTCTTAGTCATCCCTCCAACTTCCTCGTGCAGCAACCTTCTCGGCACGGCGGACTTCCTGTCCGGTCGCCAGCCACCAGCGGCATTAACAAATGACTTTTCCATCACGGCTGACTTCCTGTCCAACTTTCATAGTCATCCCCCTACTTCCTACTACCACGATAAAGTAATATCTCGATAGCTTCAACGCTATTGCTAAAGGACAGAAAACAGTGCCCTCCCGTGGTCCAAGCAGATATAGCAGCCACAATAAGAAATAAACTTTTAATTGCGTTTCAAGGTTATCCTCCTGCATCTTTATTATTAACGTCTGATTAATAGGGCGACAGGAAGCCACTTTGCTGCAAGAGAGGAAAAGAAATCCTGCTTCCAAACCCTTAAACAGAGTTGAGAAGACCTACGATGGCCTATTAATATTAATGTTTTTGTAATTATTTTATAATTTATAATTTAATAACTATTAAATTAAATAAATTTATTTATTTAATATTAAATTTTTAATATTAATATTTAATAAAAAGGTTTATTTCTTTTTGTGGCAGCAATACCTGCTTTGGCTATAGGACGGCAGAGTTTTCTGTCCCATAGCATTAACATTGAGGCCATCCTAGTTAAGGGACAGAAAACCGTATGCCACCCGGTGGTGAAAGCAGGTATTGCAGCCACAAAAAGAAATAAACCTTTTAGATGGCATTTTAAGACTATTATTCTGTAACTATCGAAGCCTTTGAATTCGGTTGAAGGCTTTTGAAACATGATTCTTTCCTCTGTGCCTGTTCTGCAGCCCGAGGAATATAAAATTGTGCCATCCAGCGGTCCAAGTAGGAATAGCAGCCACAAAAGGCAATGCTGCCGAATTCTGTTGCCAGCGCTTCTCTAAGCGACCTTCCTAGTATAGCCGACTCCTTTCTGCCCTTTGCCGGCGTCCCCTTCCAATTTCATTTCGCAGCAGCCTTCCCAGCACGGCCGAGTTTCCGTCCGTTCTCCGCGGCCATCCCCCCCAACTTCCTTGCGCAGCGACCTTCTCGGCACGGTGGGATTTTAATGGAATTTTGCATTAAATTTTGCATTAATTTTTTATTCTGCATTTTTATTATTAAACGTCTTATTAATATTAATAGGGCAACAGGAAGCCCAGGGGCTGCAACACAGAAATAGAAGAAGGAATCCTGCTTCAAAAGACTAATGGCCTACGATAGCTTCAATGCTATTGCTAAGGAACAGTGCCATCCTGTGGTCCAAGTAGGTATAGCAGCCGCAAAAAAAAAAAAAACACTTTAGGGGCCTTTAAAAATTATTATCTGTATCTTTATTATTAAACGCCTTATTACGGCATTAATATTAAAAGAATACATCTCAACTCATAAGCGACAGAAAGAAAAAACCCTAACCAAATAGATCATACTAACAGACACACAATGCTATATACCATATAGCAATACTATATAGACCATGGTATCATGCTGCAGCGGTTGAGGGGATTAGGAATAGGGGGCACCGTTTTGCGGTGGTTCTCCTCCTTCCTCTCCGACCGCTCGCAGTTCGTGTTGGCAGGGGGACAGAGGTCGACCTCGAGGCGTCTCGCATGGGGAGTGCCGCAAGGGTCGGTCCTCTCGCCCCTCCTGTTCAACATTTATGTGAAGCCGCTGGGTGAGATCATCCGTGGTTTTGGGGTGAAGTGCCATCTGTACGCTGATGATACTCAGCTGTACATCTCCATCCCAGACCACCCCAACGATGCCCTTGATGTGATGTCTCGCTGCCTGGAGGCCGTGCGGGTCTGGATGGGGAGGAACAGGCTCAGACTCAACCCCTCCAAGACCGAGTGGCTGTGGCTTCCGGCACCCCGATATAGTCAGCAGGTGCCATCGCTGACTATTGGGGGTGAATCTTTGCCCCCCACGGAGAGGGCTCGCAATCTGGGTGTCCTCCTGGACGCGCGGCTGTCTTTAGAAGAGCATATGACGGCCGTGGCCAGGGGGTCCTTTTATCAGGTTCGCCTGATCCGCCAGTTGCAGCCCTTTCTGGATCGGGACGCCCTGCGCACGGTCACTCATGCCCTTGTTACTTCCC